TGGTTTCCAAGAGTATGAGATTTGGATGAACCTCCACTCATGTTTCCGCAGCTGTTTGTGACTGTTTTGTGTCAAGAGCTCTGAGACCGTGGCCGTGTGTGTGCGTTTCAAACATGGAGTCGCTCAAGCTCTGGATTGCTTTGACGCCTAAGCAGTTGGAAGAGTTGAACAAGGGCAATGAGGTGTTTCCAGATGAATATTCTGGTCGCTTTGGCCTGCGCTTGGGACCTAAGGAGGCTGTGGATCGTGCCCAGTACTTTATGGATTGGACGCCTGAAGGTTTGAAGGGTGAACACCATCAGAAGGACTATGCGGTGATGGAAATGGAAGTCTTTGCGCTCGGGTACCTTCTAAAGGTTGAGAGTGGAATCTTGGAGAAGACTAAGCCCACTGAGTACCGCTGGCATGGGCCTGTGAAATGTGAAGAGTGGGACAGCAACGGGCGCTTGTTGTACCGCATTAGTGAGATGGCTGTTAAGTTCATTTAACTGGTCAGGGTCCAAGTATAGCAATCGGGCAGACCATGGAGTCTTAGGTATAGTTTTTGAGTCCCAGTTTGAAATGCGGAAGGGAAAGAAGAAAGAGTTCCTTTGGCAGCCTGGAGGGTCTGCGTTGCTCATGTGATGAACGGACAGTTTGCATTGCTGTAGGGAAACTTTGAATTTGGACATGTGGAGTTGTCATGCGGAGTTGTAGCTTGACTGTAGGGTCATGGGTCGTTGGTTCAGAGGAACTGTATGCGGCAAGGATCACAGTCAAGAGATCAGCCTGTACTGAGATTTGCAGTGAGTGTTTTGTTTGCCACATGAAGCATTAGTTACATTGCATGTCTGCATCGATGCCGCGAAGCCATTTGTTTTGCTTTTACCGAGTGAAGGGATCTAAGCCACTGCTTCGACATGCGAAATTGTGGCATCCTCCAGGTGTGGCACTCCTCTCAATGCTGTGGAGACGCTTGGTAGCTTGGAATCTGCTGTAGGAACTGCCACGCTACGGAAGCTATGTGACAAGCTCGCCTTGGAGGCAACTAGTGCGGTGCTCTACGGCAAGCATGCCTCGGTGCTCCTTGCGTTACAGACTCTACTGAACTCCAAAATGCTCTGTGTATAGCACTGCAGGCAAGAGTCCGCCTTCTGCTACCCTGACGGTAGCACACTCCGGTGAGTTGTAGATTAGTGTACTTTAGGTCTCTAGGCTCAGCTGTCTGAGTTGTTGCAAAAGGTGGAAAGTGCGGCTTGAGTGCGTGCAATCGGTGATTGGCACATTTCAGTATTTTGATGCGGTCATGTTGCAAGAGTGTGGAATGCAGTCATGTGGAATCTCAATTTTAAACGAAACGAAACAAACGAAACGAAACAAACAAATGAAACACAAACAATTTTGAGTGTTTTGTGCAATGCTCCTTGTTTTGCAGTTAGGTTTTTATTTGTCAGTTTGTCAGTTGGCGAGTGCAGTTTTTGCGAAAATGACTTGTTGAAGGGTTCTTGCAAAACCACGGAGACAGGTTCATTTCCAGAACACTTGCATGTCTGTCAATCGATTTGATTTTGAGTTTGTGCTGCATACAACAGGGAGTACACATTGAACTCATGGGAACTCGTTTTTAGTTTTAGGGATGGTGACTGTTTTTGGTGTTTTGTAGAGAGGAATGGTCAGTTTTCCCTGTTTTGCTGCTTTGGAAACGAATCCAGACTTTGGTTGCATGTTGGGACATGTGCTACTGGTTCGCAAAATTCCGGTATGTTGGTAGCATCTGGAATTTTGGGAAACAGTCTTGTTAGTTATTTGTATTGTTGAGCATGCACCTCATGTTGGTTGGTTGCTTGATTGCTTTGATGGTTTTATGTTTGAGACCTGAAGAGTGCAGGGAATGCGGCTCTATCACCAGCCGGGCCTGTCGAACAGGGTAGTGTCAGCTCTGCGCAATCGTCTCGAGCGGGTACTGCTAGGAATGTCGGCCGATGGAGATGCCCGTGCCCATGGCAATGGAGCTCATGGGGAAGAAGGTGATGAGCACCGTGGGCGGTCACGGTCGCGTGGCCGTGCAGCGACCGAAGCCCATGGAAGACCAGGTTTGGATGAGGATGTTCCTCCAGGAGTAGAGATACCAGCAGTGGAGGCATTGCCGGAAGAAGCTGAGAGGTCAGTCTTGATGGTGAATAATGCTCTGGCAAAGAACATCCGTGACTGCGCTTCCAAGATCGCCTCCTTGACAGAGGACTTGGGTCTGGCTGTGGAAAATGTTAGTGACGCCCGCAAAGAGCTCTCGAAAGGATTCAGCGAGCTTCGAGAGCAGTTGAGGGCCCAGACATATGGTACTGCTGCCGTGACGGGAGCGGTGTCACACCAGAGTGCCGAGATTGTGAAATTGTTGAAAGCATTCGACAAATTCTCCCATGCTGGGAAGTGGGCCCTGTCGGGGAATGAGACGATCGAGAACAATGTCAAAGCTGTTCGGGAAGAGATCAAGACTCAGGGTGAAAAGCTTGGACAGTGTCTTCAGGGCGGTTTTGAGGAAGTCAGCCGACACCTCAAGGAGCTTGTCCGTGTGATGGGGACACCGGAAGGGATCCATAGGGACACACCTGAGACGCCGGATATGGGTGCATTCTTTCCACCGAACCCACCTGTCAATCCTCCTGGTATGGATGGGCCGACAGAGACAGCTGGCGTGCCCGGAGCGGGGTTACCTGGAGGCACTCCACCATCTATGACATTGCCTGCGGCACCTGCCAGTGGATACCCAATGCCTGCAGCACCTGCCAGTGGACATGCAATGCCTGCGGGAGTAGGTGCGGGGCTGCCCCCGCCGCCAACGTTACCGGATTCTTTGTTCTGGGCTTATTGCCCAGAGCATCCAGGTGAACAGCGTCCCTCTGTCCCGATGGGTATTGCAACTCCCAGTCAAAGAACTGGGATAGTCACGAGGGACCCAGGCAGTGGCGCTTTACGAACGCTTTCACCCACTCCTTATCGTGGCGACCAGGTTTCAGCCATTACGGCCCTGTGGGCCCCAAATGGACTCGGCATGCTGAGAGACGGCAAGCACATCTTTTGAGTATGTGAGATACTTCGGCATTGTGAGGACAATGCCTACGTATCTTATTCAACCTTCGGATACTTGATCTGGAGAGCTGCATTATGATCTTGATGCCTGTGACTTGTTGCTGACTTTTGGTTATGACAGTGAGCGAACTACTTTAGCGCTATGACTGTTTATGACTGGATATTGGCTGAGAAGTCGAGCAGAACATTCTACTCTCCTCGACGGTTTGGAACTATGAGAAGACATCTCTGTGTGAAGAGCTGTTTTGGAGAAGTCGAGCAGAACATTCTACTCTCCTCTGTAGTTTGAAGCTAGGAGAAGACATCTCTAAGTGAAGAACTGTTTTGGAGATGGAACATGAGGTTCCCATGTTGTTCTGTATTGCAAGAGGATTTTGTATAGGAATTTGAGTGGAACATTTCGTTCTTAACTAGCCGTGTGACTAGTCTAGACGTTTGGTAGAGACTAGTAACACCGGCTAGCTGGTTATTTGCGTTTGGACGAGAACCAGTTTGACTTGAGAACTTTTGGAAATGTTTCTGACGTTTTGTGACTAGGTGATTTGTATATCATAGCAGTTTGGAATTGTTTCAACAACCTTTGAAGGAAGGTTGTGTATTGGAAACCTGGAATCGAGTTTCCCAGTTGAGACATCGGCTCAAGGGAGTGGTGTCAAATGTTCCGAAGAGAACTGAACTGCAGTGTCACCTAGGGCACTTGAAACAGTAGCCACACTGGAACATCTTGCTTCCTTTCTTTGTTTGTGGGCTGTGGCCGTGTGCCTGCCCTGGTTCTTGTTGACCTGTTCCGTTGTGTGTGGCGTCTGGAGAGAAAAGAAGGAGTCTGACGTGCACTTAGGAGTCGGGGTGGAACAAGTTCCTTTATTTGACATTGCAGAGAAGTAAGTAACTGCGGAGTCGCAACCACAGTAGGTGTTTGCGTCTGGCGTAGTGATTTTATGAAAGCGTCGATTTGGGTACACGAGAGGTGTACTTGGGTTTACGTTTTTCACAATTTAGGGCTTAGGTTGCAGCCAAACCCAGAACTCCAGAAATCTTTGCACAATGGCACAGAACTGTTCAAATTTAAAACCCATCATGTGATCCTGGCCCACCGTCAGGTGGCGTCAGAGGCTGTAGCGGACTTTGATCCACTTATCAAGCGCCTCAGAGCTTTGAAATACCTCACAGATGCTGCGGGAGGCGGACATGGACATGCGAGCAAGAAGGATCAGCCTGAAGCGAAGGATTTGCTCAAGGATGACCCCCACTTCGGATCACAGCTGGAAAAGCGGTCGGTTCAGAGTGTGGCTTTTGTGGGTTTTACCAGGAACACCCTACTGGAAATGGCGAGAACCGCGGAGAGAGTGGAGGAAATGGGTGAAGAGCACAAGGACTGTCATGTCCTTCCACATGGCTCACTGACTGACAATCACACAGACACACTTCCACTGATCGGATACTTTACAAAGAATTTCTAATTGATATCATTGATATTTGTTAATTTATATATATATATATGTAAGTTAAAATTATTTAAGACAAATTTTCAATTTGCAAGGGTTCTTTCAGCAGTCCAGTTGAGCTGATCCCATTTTTTGCCTGTCCAGTTTATGCCTGTACAGTACCTGTATCCAAGAACACCATTCCTGGCTGGCCAGGATGCGATTCAGTTCCTGACTGAGCTGAGTGCATCGATCCAAGAAACATCTGACTCCTGGAAATCCTACAGTGATGCCATAGTAAAGGCAGGGTCGGCTTGGGCTTGGGGCCTGAGTCATGTGCTTAGGAACATTTGGAGGTAGCGGTAGTAGTAGTAGTAGTAGTAGAAGTAGTAGTAGTAGTAGCAGTAGTAGTAGTAGTAGTAGTTAGTGGCAGTGGTGAATGTGCAGTGAAGTGTCGGATCAAAGACCCACAGAGAAGCAACCAGATTAGGTTTGAGTTTGAGCAGAGCCATGTCGTCCCAGCTGGCGTTCTGGTTGCTGTCACCCATGCTGGATGGACAAGTTGCACGAAACTCAGTGTTTCCCAACGAGATCGGGAGACCAAGCATCATTGTGATCACAATGGGAGCAGTGTGCGCCACCTTGGACAACTTGCTGGGATTCCCCGATTGCCCTCTTCCCGGCCTCTCTCCATCAGTGGTGACCATGTCCATAAAGTTGGGGCCGCTTGTCTCCGAAGCGCTGGGGGCTCTTGCGGGAAACACCCAATGGCGACCTGAAGAAGAGAGGCACCATGCAGAGGAGGCCTCGGCCTCTACTAGGGCGACACTGAACCGTGACCTGGAGACCATGAAGCGGGAGCTGGAGGCATCAGTGCAGGCTATGGTCGCCTGGAGGATGCAACTGAGCCCGGCAGAAGGGATCAGATACGACAGGATCCAGGAGGCCGTGTTGCTCACCATTGAACAGGTCTGCGAATATGAGACCTTCCTCCCACTCACACAGCTTCGAGATGGACTGCATGCCTTTATTTGGCACATGGCGCAGGCGCAGGCCTCTGTCTCTGTTCCCAAGGCTACAGGCTACAGGCCCTACAGGCCCTGCAGGCCCGACCTGAAAAAACCAAAGCGAAGTGCATAGGAACATTTGGAGGTAGTGCCGGATATCATCTCTCACCGTCTCACTCACCGTCTCACCTTTTTGAAATTGCACAGGCCTGCCTGCAGAGCCTGCAGCCACTGCAGCCTGCATCCTGCGAGTACAGCCTATGTAGTAGGTGACTGTGACACTGACGAAGAATGGCACCAGCCGGCACCAGCTGTTACACCCAGGCTACAGTTACAGACCACCTGGCTGTCACCGTCACCTGGCCTGAAAAAAGAAGAGAGTGACAGCAGTGACAGTGACAATGACAATGACAGTGACAGTGTTGAAGTGTTGGTGAGTCAGTGTGAGTGTGAGTGTGAGTTGCCTGCAGTGAGATTGCACATGCACAGACAACATTGACAACAATATGACATATGTTCCCAGTTAGTCAATGGTTAATAGTTAGTTAGCTAGCTAGCTAGCTACCTAGCCAGTTAGTTAGTTAGTTTGTTAGCTGGTTAGTTAGTTCGGTTCTTCTCTTTGTTCTCTTGCTTTCTTACTGTTACTGTTACTCTTGCTTTTTTCTCACCCTGGCCCTGACCGTGACCGGACCCGACCCTGATTGGCCCTGACTGACTCACTGACTCCTACTGCCAACTTGCTGCTCTTAGTCTTACTCTTAGACTTAGACAGTAGACAGTCAGTAGACAGTAGACAGTAGACACTGTAGACTGTAGATGCTGGACTCGACTATTAAGACTAGCCTGGCATCTGGCCTCTGGTATCATTCTGTCGTCATGCTGAGTGACTGTCGCTCTTATATCATGCCATCCAGTGCTTGTGCCAGGCTCGAGATGCAGAGGAGAAGGCACTCCGGAAAGAGAAGGAGAGGCTTGACAAGCAGGAGAAGCGCAAAGAACAGGCAGCTCTGAAGAAGCAAAACAAGGCTGCAGCTGCTTCAGAGGCTTCTGCTGCAAAGAGAGCTGCTGTGGAGGACTCAGCAAGTGGTGGATCTCAGAAGAAGAGACGGACGCTCTCAGCCACTGCAGTCACTGATGTGGGCGACAAGGACTTCCTGGTGCTCAAGAATTTGGTGAGCGGGGATTGGCCCCTCCAGTATGCCTTTGAATCCAACAAGACCGACTGCATCAAGGAGTTCATCGAGGCCATTGGCCGGACGAATGGAGCAAAGACGGTCCTGGCTCGTTTGACCCGGTCGACCTTCAAAAAGGTGCTGGAGGCGCAGGCCAACACAGACACCAGCACTGGTCGGTCTGGTGTCACTTGACTAAACTAATATTTGATATCTTATCAGATCAGAGACAGAGATTCAGAGATTCCGGACTAGGTATAAAAAGCCCATGAATGAAAGCACATGGTCACACTCACACACCCACCGACCACCGCCACCGACTGACACATTGTCCCCACACCGACCACGGACCCATCACCATGATGAATTTGTCTTTCAAATTCACTCCTGCAGCCTGCGGCCTATACTATAGGTGATCCTGGATGATGATGTCAAGAAGGTGCAAAAGCTGATGAACCAGCAGATTACTTCATTCTCCAGCGACTGCGACAAGGAGTTTGAGAGGGAAAGGTGCAAACCCAGACCTGTCCGGTTGATCAGTGACAAGCTTGGCACCTTGTTCGGCATGGACCACCTCTTGAGGGAGGACACGGACAATGAGTTTCTCAAGAATATTGAGGGCACCCGCAAGTTCAAGGTGGCGGACCGGAACATGATGGAGTCCACGAATTTTGACCTTGATTTGGGACTGTGTCAGTGATGTCAGTGTGTTGACTCAGTCAGACTTATGTTGATTCTAGTCACTAGTCTACTGTCTGTCTACTAGTCACCTAGTCCGAAGTCCCTCTCTAGTCTCTAGTCCTCAGCCAGTCACTCTAGTGTAGTCTAGTCAGACTCTTGACTTGACCGACTTGACTCTTGACCGTCTTGAGTCTTGACTCTTTTGAAATTTGAAACTTCATATATCATACTTCATACTTCATACATATTTTATTTCATATCAATGAATCAAGCTTGCTCGCAAATCATCACTGACCACTGCACAGTGACTGCACAGACTGTCTGACTGTCACTCCATCTACGAATCTACTGCAACTGCACAGCACTGCAAAGTTGTGGACGCATGTCATGTCATGGAATCATGCATGTCATGACTCGTTACTGAGGATGGATCAAGACTCAGAGAGCAAGAAGATGACTCCCCAAATGGTCGGGTTGGCGCTGACGTCTTTTGTCCATGGAGGAAGTTTCGGCGGAACAATTCCTGGTGGCCCAGCTGCAATGCACTATCAGTTCCGCGGGAGCCGCTTGATTGTGGTGATAGACTTGTTGGAAGCCCTCGTCATGTACCAAAGGGACACCAGCAGCAGCGGAAGTGGCAGCCAGATCTCGATGAGAGACACTCAGCCAGAACTACTAGTACTAAGTACTAGGACTAGGACTAGAACTCTTAGGAAAACCTTGAGAACTTGAGACTTGACTTGAGACTGAGAGACTGAGAGTAGAGTCTGAGAGTAGAGTCTATTCCATTCCATTCCATTCCATTCCATTCAAATTCCAGTCATATTAAATATATTATATCAGATCATATCTTCTTTTTGAGATTTGAATCTTGGCATTCCAAGGACTTAGTGGCGTACTTCTCAAATCTGAGCCTGGATTCCCTGAATGCCTTCAGACCGTGGTCATTGGTGGCAGGAGAGATGAAGACAGGCGATGTGCTGTTCACTCCCAGCTCTTCTCTGGTGATAGAGAAAAGCATTGGGGTGTCCTCAATCGGAGTCCGTTCGACCTGTACTGTGTACAACAGCCATTCAGTCAAAGCCCTTGCCAAGTTGTCTGAGCTCCTGCCAACGCAACTTGGCATTAAATTATCATAATTATAAGGTATGCCAATGTCATGTCATGTCATGTCATGTCATGTCTAATGTTAACAGTCTAATCACAATATAACACCACATGTGAATGTGATGAAGCATGAATCACAACCACACCACACCACATTACATTACATGTGATTGTGATGGAACTTGGAACTTGATCGGACCGCGGGACTGTGGATATTGGCTTCAAGGCTTCAAGGATCCCTCCGTGCAGTGCCTGCTGCCATGGCGGGGCCAGGGCCGCCGTTGCCGGGCCCCAACTACTTTGTGCCAAGGCCCCTGATGGTGGACAGCAATGTGGAGTTTGGCATCCAGTACTTGCCTGAGACAGTCTGGGCCCAGGACGATTTTTACCCTCCTGGATGTGCTGCTGATCAGAGGATCTCGGCAAACACTACCGTGTTTGAGGCCATCAGGCAGTTGGACGGTAACATCTGTGGCAGTCGTCACAGAGTGGTCGCCCTGATAGCATTGCTGGCTCCTGAACCTGAACCCCGTCCCGGTGGTGGACCTGGTGATGGCAATGGTGATGGTGGTCCTGGTGCTGGCGAAGCAGCAGCAGAAGATCCAGCAGATAATGACGCTGACGCTGACCTTGAACTTGACGCTGACCCGGCTGACCCTATTGACTCTGACCATGACAGAGACAGAGATGGAAGCAGTGCAACAGAGCCGATGGTGGGCTTTGACTGATGATGATGCAATGCAATGCACCAGATGGCATCTGTGGTGACCGGTGAGTCAGTCAGTCAGGCAGTCAGTGAGGCCAGGCCCGCCTGCAGGCCTGAATAGGGATCAAGAGCCTTGTGGAGGCCTTCACTTCGGTCCTTACTTCAGTCCTTCAGAACTTCAGACTCAGAGCAAGAGCCTCAGAGCCTGTCTACAGAGTGAGGTATTTTACGGAAAATGAAGGGCCGTGGCCGGGGGCCCGTGGGCTGTGGCTGTGGCCGTGCTGGTGGCAGAAGTGCAGCACCTTGTTGAACTTGTTGCTTCAACTTCAGAATCAGAATTGCTAATAATAATACTCAATTATTGTTTCATCAGATCGTCCGATCACTGATTTACTTTCAAAGTTCTTGTTGACCATGTGAATGTGATGTTTGAATTTGAATCCCCTTGTGAATTCAAGTGAAAGTGTTGCTGCTGTTGTTGGTGGAGCAATTTTATAGTGATGATAACTGATAACCTGGAGACTTTGACTGTTGACCGTTGACCCTTGACCGACTGTTGACCATCTATAAAATCAGTCACCAGGCAGGCACTCACCGACCAGGGTATTTTCAAGTTGACAATCTCTGAGGTTGTTTCTGAACATCATTTTCTATAGAATAGCTGACACCAAGTCCACCAAGTCAGTCAGTCACTCTCGAATCTCGAAAAACATTTTTTTAAGGATTTGAGTGAGAGAGAGAGAGTGACAAATCAATTTAGTTGGCTGTTGGCCTGGGCCTTCTATCCCAATTCCCCAAGTCTCATTGACAATTGACTACTGGGTAGGGTAGGTGCCCCTAAACAAAGGAGGGCCCCATGGCCTCATGGCCCCATGACCCATGATTCCCCGATTTAATGATTTGCACATCTAAGGGACAAGCTGGCTCGCTTCCTGACGGACTACTTCAAGCAGCTGCCAGTGTGTGAGGAGCTACTGATAGAACAAGATGTCAAAGGCGCATGCAAGGCTTTGGCTTTTGACCAGGCCGACAAGGATGCCAACGATGCTGACGCTGATGGCCACAAGAACAAGCAGAACTTGGACAACCTCACCAAAATCAAAGATGAGGAGGGAAAGGTGCTGAAGGTGAAGCCGGAGACGACGGCTGCTGAGGCTGAGGCTGAGAATGGCACTGGCACTGCAACTGCCGTGGCCGTGGCCCTCAAGCTTTCCGATCGAGAGCAGATAGCAGAAATGGCAAAGCAAGGCAGCTTTGAGGCCCAGCTCAACCAATGGGTGTATGAAATGTCCCCGGAGGTGTTGGAGTCAAACATTCACGAAGCGAAGAAGCACCGGAGGTTTGAGGTCTATACTGCCAGTACTTGCTGACGGAAACAGGGCTTACGGAGGATGAAGTTGGGATCAATCATTTCGGAGCAGGAGAGCCAACAGAGGACTTGCTGGACTTTGTGGGGTATCTCCAGCGGTGTTATCACGATGACTTCTTGGAGGCCAGCTGTCAGTGAGTGGCTGTCAGTGGCAGTGGCAGCGGCAGCGGGCCGCACATATCATGTCAATGAAGCGGAATTATGTGAATGAAAACATATGACATGATAATGATAACAAGTGAACACGTATGATATCTGATGACTCACTAGTCACTCAGATGATGATGATGATGATGATGATTCACTCAGATTTTGATTTGTGAATTTTTGAAAATTATGAATCGTGATTGTGAGCTTGTCAGATTGACAGACTGACTGTCAGGTTGGCCTTGGCATGCAGCTCCCAAGTTTTGAGGACTGCCTACTGAAGTCACAAGTCACAAGTCATGACTCACAACAGTGCAGTGGCGAGTTTGGTAGTTACATAAGTAGAAGTATAGATTATAGAAGCAATTGGAAATTGAGAACTGACCGGACTACGGACTCACGACTCTCAGACTCTCAGACTCAGACTCTCAGACTCTCAGACTCTAACCCTAGACTCTAGTGTCTAGACTCTAGACTCTAGACTCTAAACTTTAAATTCTAAACTTTAAACTTTAAACTGACCAAGAGAAGAGAAGTGATTTGAAATTTGAAACAATTGAAATTGAATCCATCCAGTCAAAGCCAAAGCCCTGAGTCTAGTGACTGAGACAGCCATTGACCGTCATTGACCAGACCATTTGACCATTTGTTGTTTTTCTTTGATTTTCAGAAGCTTCAGGAGCTGCAGCCTCTGCAGCAGCCGAGGGCAGTTCAGCCAACTGAGGCTGAGGCTGAGGCTGAGGCCGAGGCTGGCTGAGATGGCAAAGAGGGGCAGCTCAGCCGCTGCAGCCTGTTCTCATACTAATGTCAGATGACGACGATGAGTATGATATCTTGACAATGACCAGTGAATCAATCAATGAACTGAACTATGAACTATGACTATGAACTATGAACTATATATATGATATATAAACTGAGCCGAGCCGCCTCCTGATAATCACAATGTGTCCAAATCACACTGTTGTCAGTTGTCTCACTGTCACACTGATAATCACATTGGACTTGGACTCCGACTTGGACGTTCAGGTTGCGCCGCCTGGGCCGCCTGGGCCGGCTGGTCCCCCGCCGGATGATTCTGATAAGGCAACTGCAGCAATTGAAGCATTTGAATCTTGCCTTGGTTACATGTTACATTTCAACTTTTTGCCAACAGAACAGAACTGTCACTCGGACTGGAAGTGGAACTAAACTGTAACTGAACAGGATTATTTTGGCTGATTTCATTTTAGATTTTGGAGAATGCTGATTCTGATGCTGATCTGCCCATCCGATGGCCCGGCCCATCCTGCTATAATTCCTTCAGCCTTCAGCCGAAAGCCTTCAGCCTTCAGCCATTAATTCATCCCCAGGCCCAGGCTGCCGCCGAAACTGTGGAAGTTTCTGATAGCCAACCGGAGACCAATGTCACTGGAGTCACTGGTCAAACTTAGTTTTCAATCTTGACTTGCCTCTTGCCACTTGCCTTGGTTGCATTTCAACTTTTGGCCAGCAGAACAGAACTGGAATTGGAACTGAATAACTGAATAGGATTATTTTGGCTGATTTCATTTTAGATTTTGGAGAATGCTGATTCTGATGCTGATCTGCCCATCCGATGGCCCGGCCCATCCTGCTATAATTCCTTCAGCCTTCAGCCGAAAGCCTTCAGCCTTCAGCCATTAATTCATCCCCAGGCTGCCGCCGAAAC